CTGCTGAATTTGGGCACTTAACCCCAGAGCACTAAGCCTGGGAGGCTCCAGTGATGAAGGCCTAGGGACTTTTGAGACTTCCGAGTCATTTCCCTGCTCTGCCATATGCCTCGTGTGATCTTGAAAAAGTTACTTAGCTGTTCTGGGCCACCTTTCCTCAGTATAGAAACCAACTGGAAAAATGCTCTGAGCAATCAATTGCACAAATACGAGTGGGGGATGACTGGTTGCAAAAAAAAAGAAAAAAGCCAAGTGCATACTAAGCTGCATTAATAGAAGTACTGCCTTCAAGTCAAGGGAAATGATTCGTCTACTCTAGCCAACACTGAAGGGGTCTCATCAGGAGTACTGTGTCCAATTTTCAATCCTGCACTTAAAGATGTAAAAAAATTGGAAAGAGTCCAGCAGAGTGCAAATAATTGACTGGAGGCTTAGAAAACTTGATTTACAAAGAAAGGTTGAACCATCTGGGATTATTTCATCCAGAGATGAAAAGACTGAAGGGGGCTTTTGATAACAGTCTTCAAATATCTGAAGGGTGGTTACACAGAAGATGGTGACAGACTATTAACTTTAGCTGCAGGGGATGGGACAAGGAGTAATGGTCTTAAACTGCAACAAGGGAAATTCAAGCTGTGTAACAGAAGAAAAAAAAAAAAACAACTTTCTAACTCAATCTTGCTGGAAGTTTTCAAGAGAAGGCTGAAGAGACAATTGACTGGGATGGTTTAGTCAGGAATGAACCCACCTTGACTGGGGGGCTGGACTAGGTCAGTGTTTCTTAACCAGTGGGTTGCAAGAATATTTGAAAGGGTTGAGCAAGTCCCAGAAAAATGCATGAAAGGGACTGCTTGGGACGACTGGAGGCAGCAGGCGCGTGTGCATCTGCACGTGCAGCCACACATGGCCAGCATACAGTGAAGCCAGGTCATGGAAGCAGCCCCAGCTGCTAAATGCAGGTAAGTGTATGGGGAGCAGGGGCTGGAGGTCCAGGGGACTGTCTGGAGGGGTGTGTGTGGCACAGGGCTGGTGCCCATACACTCAGGGGCCCCCACTCGCTGCTCGAGGGAGAGTCAGGGGCAACACTCACTGCTCGCAGTCTGGCCCAAGTGGGATGGGGGCAGCGGGACTGTGGGTCAGGCACCAGCAGGACCAGTGGGGTGTGGGTCAGGACAAGCCATTGAATTTGGCAAATGGGTCCTGGTAGGAAAAAGGTTGAGAACCACTGGACTAGGTGACCTTGTGAGGCCCTTTCCAGCCCTACATTCCTATGATCCTATGAACTCTGAGACTGATGTGCAGGTTCCCTTACAGGCTACCATGACAATTCTAGACAGCGCAGTACAGTAGTTGAAGCACAAGTGCTAAGTCAGACAACCTTGGCTCTGTCACAGTCCTCACTGTGGAATAGTAGGCACGTATCTTCAGCCAAAATTTTCAGAGATGTCCCTTAATTTGGGACTCCCACTTTGAGATATCAAAGGCCTCATTGCCAGAGGGGTGAACACGCAGAGGTCCCACTGGCTTGAGTGCTCATGGAGAGCTCTGCTAATGAGGCTTCAAGGCCTTGAACCTCTGGGCCATCCAAAACAAGCAGGTGCTTTTGAAACTGTGGACCATACCTTTTCTATTTCCTAGTTTTCAAAGCTGCAAGACACAGCTACTACTACTATTAAGGATCTTCATCCTGAGATCTTTGGATGGGGTGAGCTGGGAAGACAGTTTTGTCATAATCTATTATTTATAGTCAGGTGGCATACTGAACTGACTAATGCTCCCAACAGTAAATGCCCCTGCCCATCACCCCTTCTGTTTGTGAAACCCGGTGTCTCTTAGAGCATAAGAAGCAAGTGTATTTTGCCCACATGAAGCTAGGCATGAGGCTCTTACTGGCACAATGCAAAACATGACTGGAGAAATCAATAAAAACAGGAAGTTTCTCACCTCCTCAGGTCTGCTCAATACATGCCCTTCGGGGCCTGTGATCCCCAGTTCCAGAATCCTCTGCTGCTCCTAAGACAAAAAAAAAAAAAGCAGGAAGAAGGCTTAAAACAACATCAACTCTGATTCTAGTAGCTAGAGGTATTTGGAAAAAGCAGATACAAGACATCTGTGCTTGCTAAAGATCACTTGGTCCTTTCCCCAAGAGTATTACAGCTGGCACCCTACATACTTCTAGAGTAACCCGACCTCTGCACAACCTTCCTGTTTCCATCACAGGTGATCACATAAACCTGTCACTTGATTTTTTTCTTCAACCCTCAGGTTTCACTCTGAGTTTGGGGCTTGAAAGTGATTAAATTATGAAGCTGCATGCTGAAAACCTCTGAAACTTCAGGCTCTGCCTGGTTTGGCTGTGCTGTGTACAAGAAGTGACAAAGGTCAGAGACAGGCCCCAATATATTATGGTTTTAACACTTCTACTGCAAGTCTGGCTAAAAGTCAACCAGGCATAATAAGCCCCTTTGTTCTAGGTGCTGTACAGACTTAATGTCTCTTTGCTACCTCTCCTAACTGGATATGTGATATCATTACATACAGTGCCCACTTCATTATATTACTGAGTTACATCTCTGCTTTGTACATGGCACGGACTGTGCTGATGGATACAGAACCTTTATAGGCTTTAGTAATTTCATGCAGTGAGTCTGAAGAGAGGGATTTGTAATTTAAACACCAGCAGCTAATATTCTGCAGAACAAAGGGATGAGATACCTCAGCAATGATGTCACCGTTCTCAGCATGGACTTGAGCGATGGCACCAATATCACGGATTACACTCAGGACCTCATATATCTAGGAGTAAAAAAAAAAAGAGACATTTTGTTACATGCCTTGCTGTTCTTACATTGCACTCTACTGGTCTTGTAGCTATTCCTACTAGTTTGAAGCCTCCTGCAAAACAGAGAGAGATGAAAAATGACTGAGGTAGAAAGAAGAAAGACCTTCAGGTGTCAGCTTCATAGCAGCACTAGACTAGAATATACTAGAATATATACTAGAACGCAACACACAGGAGATCTGGGATCAAATGTCTGGCCTCCTTGGTAAAGAGCTTTGAGAGTCACAGGTGGGAAGTACTTTATAAAGACCTGGTTACTGTTCTATTACGATGTAGAGAGCAACACTGACAATCTGGCAACAGGTGTCTCAGGCTGAGAAATCTGCAAGTGAGGAACCTAAGACAGTGGTCACTTATTTTGACCACATAATGAATACAAATAGCTTCTTATTTGATTTCAAGTGATGTCCACAGACTCCACCCTCTCCTTTTTGGAAGCAAACGCCTCCTCTAACCTGTACAGCTCCATACTGAAACCTGCCCAATGATTGATGCGTGTCAGGAGAAACTGTATGGGAAATTTCTACTGGTCCCAGTGATTTCAATGGTAAAACCCTAAAGTGCTTGTTCAACTAAAAATCCATACAAAATAAAAACCTGCAGCTCCTTACACTGAGTTTTAAGTTCTAGTGTAACACATGCAGCACATACCAAGGCCATGGATGAGGACATTTGCAACGCTAACTTCAATAGGTTTTTTACACAGGTGTAAGTTATTACAAGACCCAGAGTGAACAGGTGAGTTCCTATTCTGTGATAGCTATTCATGCTGTGCCCTACTACAAATTCTCGCCACTAGATAGCAACGGAGCAGATAACAGCCTGTTTCCTTTGAGGAAATAGCAAACCTGGGATGGAAGCAGACAGATGACACACATCCCAGTGTAACTTATACCAGTGTAATTTGACTCCTGATTTTCCTGAAGTAATTGTACACTGGTCTTAAAGACATTACCCCGTCTACCCACTCCTTATTTACAGTGGTGTGAACCCTGGCAGAGCTAGTGTAAATGTTAACCACTTATGCTCTTAGATCCAAAGGTTAATGGTTCAGTCCCTCTGATTACACTACTGGGGTGGTATTACACATGCAGAGACCACAGATTAATGAAGCTTCAGGCCAGAGGGGATCATTAGATCATGAAGCTTAACTTGCTACATAGCAAACACAGGCCATTAATTATAACCCCTGTACTGAGCCCAGGAACTTGTGTCTAGCCAAAATATAGTTTGAGATGACTGAACTGTAACATGTGAACATCAAGTTTTCCTACCTGCGAGTCAGTGAGCTGAAAGCGATCTTTGAAGGCCATGTAAACCAAGAAAGAGTTCACACCTAGTAGGAACAAAACAAAAGACATTAGCTAACTGCTGAACACCCCCAGGAAAATAAAAAGCAGCTCAAAACACTTGGCAGTGAGAAGAAATGGTAGATAAAAAAAATAAATAAATTGCACTCTGTTGCCAACTACACATACACTTAAACAGATCACAATGTGAAGCCAGCATCATCTTAACCATGTGGCATTTATTAACTCAGCTGATGAAAATGATGGAGCCTGCAGTGTAGGAGAGGGGACAGCTAAGCCCTTAGGGCTCCACTTAACATTGAAAAGGAATAAATCTTTGCATTCGGCTCAGTGGGAGGTTGACCTAAAAAAAAAACAAAAAAAAACCACCCCAACAACCCCTCCTCAAGCATCAGACTCCCTCAAGCGGCTGTGAGACCTGGCTGCCTGCAAGAAGGCTGGGAAATTTTTAACTGAAAGCAAGTCCTCCTATAAAAGCACAGTGCAAACCAAAACAGGGAGAGTCCAGTGGGCCTCCCCTTCCTGCATTTTCCAGCACACAGTATGGTAAAAATCCTGAACCACCTTGTGTGGGAAAACCAACCTTAGGCTATAAAAGGGTTTTCTGGGGTTTTTTTGTTTTGTTTTGTTTTGTTTTGTTACCACAAACAGGATGGAAAACTTTCCAAGCCTGGGGATGAAACATCAAGGAAATGAGAGATAGGAAAAAACAATGAGGTCATCCTGCTTGCTCCCCACCTTCACGTGCCAACACAAGATTGATGCTCCTGTAGCCGATTCTTCACTCGCTCACAGGAGTTGAACTCTGGGGACTTCCTGGCTGACTGTGCCCCTGCATAATTCACCATAGGAGTGAGTTTACACTACATGAGGCCAGTAGGTCTTGTCCCGACTAACATGAGAAGCAGCAGCCCACAGCAACCAGGGACAAGACCACCATACTCATCTCCTATCCCCTAAGCAGAGTCCTTAGTGCTTACCTGCCTAGATGTAGAATAGCACCACTGGTTTCCCACTCCTGCCTTTTACAATACACTCGCTTCATGTTGTCCCCTACAAGTCTACCTCCTGACATCCCATGTGCAAACTGAAACCAGGCACCATTCTGATCTACCATTACTTTACCCCAAGCATATTTATTTTAAAGGTAAAATAAAATCACTGGCAATGGGTAGTTTAAAAAAAATGGGGGTTGTCTCCCCACTCCCTTGACACTTCTTTAATTCTCCCAAACTTACCATGGTCTTTCACGAGGGCTTCCATCTCCTCCTGAACACCTTTATGCCACTCTGTGATATCCACGTGGAGGGAGTAGTCGCAGCAGGATTTGCTATCCGCCCATTCTCGCCACTGGTCAAACGCGGTGAGCAGGCTGGACCCTGGCTCTGGAATTACGTGATCAACTGAAAAGCAAACAAGCATGTGCAGTAGTAAGTGTGTGTGACAAAAAGGTTTCAATAGCCATCTAAGGTGCAGATCACACTTTCCACTGGCTACTGAAATACAAACTTCTTATCCCATTCTAGAGCAAATGCAAGCTTGAAGACGCTACATTTTCCCACTCTACAATTTGATTCCAAGCAAAATCAGGAGGAAAGAGCTGAATTACTATAGATGGCTTCACTGCCATATTATGGGGATGAGTTAAACAATTCCTAGTTCAAAGCCCATGCAGGGAACTCGAACTGTTGCACAGAACTGCGTAAACATTGCTTCCCTATTACCTATTAGGCTGAGAAATGAACAATGGGATGGGTAATAACCCCTGAAGCATCTCTCAGTCACTTTCAATAACCAAACAGCAATTTATGGAAATGGGAGACTCCTCCCTAGCTTGCTCCCGTGGCCATATGGTTGAGGGCAAGTGAAACTCGGAGGCAAACAAACCCCAAGCCTCTGGGCTTGGGCCTGCATGTAGGATCCCCACCTAAGGATTTTGAAGGATCTGAAGCCCCAGGCAGGGGTGGAGGATGCTTGCTGGTAGCAGGGCAACATATGGTTCTTGAATGACTCATGAATTTGGAATTGATTTGGCTGATTTGACTTAAAACATGAAAAAATGTTCTTAAAAATAAAAAAACAAAAACAACCCGGTGCCCTCTGAGAAGCTGGGGAAGGTACCCTAGTAAGTTCCAAATATCTCCTTTATCACATGCCATACTAGCCAGTAGCTCCAACAGTGGGTCAGGAGATTGGGCTAAGCATTATACAAGCAGGGAGAACAAGTTCCTAGGATATTTGCTGAGCATGTGCAATGACAGGACCCAATTTGAATGCCTCTCTATAGATACTATTGAGAAGTATCCTGTGCAATCCCTCCAGGCAACCAGGTCCAGAGCTAATAAAGTCTTTATAAACCGGAAGCCCAGGATCACAGTTACAAACTACACGCGCTAATGACGAGCAGCCTGGACTAGAAGGCAGGAGATCTTGAAGTCTATTCCTAGATCTACCTGTGGCAAGGCACCTCTTCTCTATGCTTCATTTTTTCTTCCACATCCCAACAACTCTGGAATGGGATCACAATGCAGGAAGCTAAAAGAAAGTAAGGAAAGTACACAGCATCTCAGGGCTGCACAGGTCTCCAACTGAGCTAACCTAGGGTGTGAGGAGGGAACTGAAGCAGGTGAGGGGAGGACTTGGCAGATTTTACTTCAGGCCAAGGGGAAAAAAAAGAAACCTGCTCAGTTACTAGCTGAGAAATTGAGCAGTTTATTTTTAACATTATTGTTCGGGATCAGGGCTGCAATCAGTTCACCAATAAGCTTTAAATCAGGGTTAAGTGGAAAAGCTGAAATAAAAAAACAGCATTCCTCTGGTTCTGTTAGCTTTTGTTGGATCACAAAACTCTGATGAGGTGGCCAAGGAAGCCTAGATTTACATGTGGGGAGGTTATCAAGCCACTGCAAAGACACCATCACTTCTAAATGACTTATTTGCTGCAGTCATCTAAATATACAACAGTGTCCTCAAACTATCTGAGAAGCAGATGCTCCAAGAGGGAAAGAAGACTGTAAAAAAAGCAACCATTCTTATTGCACAAATTAAAAACCTAGGCTGGCTCCTCTGCTCCTGGGGTATGTGACTAACTGAATAGTGTTTTGGTTAAAGGAGCTGTGCTGCAGCCAAATGCATGGAGCAGGCCTACAAAGAGTGGGATGCAAGGCCTCCCTTGGTCAGAGAGAACACTCAGCTTGGACCTCTTTGTGGTCTGGGTGGTCGCTGGGCACCAACCCCTTGTCCTTATATACCTGCAGGAACCCTACAAAAGGGTCCAGGCAGCCCTGGCTCCCGGGCTGGCCAACCTGGATTTGTGGCCTAGTTCTTGGAACCCTCTACTTCTGCATCATGAGTAGAATCACAGCTTTGATCAGCAGTGGCCATGCACTATCTGACCATTGGCTACTTCAAATGCTGAGGGGACAAGAGCCAGACCAAAGGCAGGGAAAGGAGAAGGGGTGTAGGGGCAGGATTAGGATCCAATAGGAGAGTGAGGGGCCTAGAGGCCTGTGGGGAGGGTAAGGGAGAAACTGAGAATGGCAAGGCAAGACTGGAAGCCCAGTGGTGGTGACCAGGATTGACTGCTGGGGGGTGAATAAGAGGACTGGGAATCAGTGGGCCAGGGAGACTGGGGAAGGAAGAAGACTGGCAGGAGCTGGACAAAGTCAGACTGAGAAAATGAACCAGGGAGATGGAAGACTTAGAAAGATGCTAAAGAGACTGTACAGGTGGCCTAGCAGACAAGTGGCCAAGAAAAATAGACTATGACTCTGCAAGGACCAGAAACCACAGGGAAAGCATGCCTGGACATGGCAAAAGAGCCTCACTGGATAAGGAACTGAAAAAGGCATAACTGGAACTGACTGAGCAAGGAGACTGGCGCAGGGATGAGAATCCAGCCACAAGCAAGACAGAAGTCTGGG